CTGTGTAAAGAGCCTGTCTTTTGAGATTTGATGCCCAGACCTGGGACTTGCTAAATGCTACAAGTAAATGAGCTATTTCCTTGCTATAAATACATCTCTCTTTCTAGAAATACATTTGTAAATGTTTCTAAAGAATTCTACCTAAGATAAACTCATTAGGATGAGAGGTTAACAGAATATTCTAGAAATTTCTGGTAAAGCTTAGTAGACCCTTTGAAGATTACTCCCCTACAACCTTCTTACCCATATGTAAAGGTGATCTGTACAAGGATGTTTACTTCATAATATATTGTTAACAATAGTAAGAAAAAAAATTTAAAAACAGGGACTTAAAAAGATGAGGTGATAATAGGCATGGATCAATGGTAATTAACTACATAAAAATGTATATGAATGAGTGTATAAAACACAATGTACATTTATCAAATACAATAGATATGAATGACTATTTGTAAACCAATAAATTTTTTTTTTTAAAAAGTCGTCCAGATGAAGGAAACGTGGTACATTTAATGAAGGTATTTTGCATAAGAGTTCTTGCATCTGGGCCTCTAAAGCATTTCTGTCTGCTTCCTCCCTCCACAGCCTTTTATTTTAGTTATCTGGCATTGCATTCTCTTTTTTGATCAGGAACCTTCTTCAAAGCTATTTGGAAGGAGCTGGCTTTAAATCTTAAGTAAACAGTCACATTTAAACTAGTTGGTATTCCCACTGGGAATGAGAGGAGAGGAAATTATTTGCATTACAGCTGGAGACACTGGGACTGACAGGACCACTGCTCATTCTTCACTGAATCAGTTGCTACTTGCTGGTTCTTACTCATGGTAAATCCCCATGTCTTAGACTAAAACTAAGCAAGCCGTAGTTTTTAATGGCTGATTTTTAAGAAGCAGTTTTCTAGGCCTGCCTCCTGAGGTGACTTTGGTTGGAGTTGAACCTTTAACCTTTCTATCAGCAGCCCAGCATGTTAATAATTTGTCCCACCCAAGGAATTCAGCGGTTGACTTCCTGCCTTTCACATAGTGGACCTGGCTTTGACTCCTGGCCGATGCGCTGCATCACCTGTCTGCCAGTGGAGGCTCATGTGCTGCTATCATGATGAATAGACTTCCACAGAGCTTCCAGGCTAAGACAAACTAGGAAGAAAGGCCTGGCAATTTACTTCTGGATTACATAGTCTGATTTGCTGTCGATTATGGAGGTGGCACAGGACCAGGAGGCATTTCATTCCGTTGTTCCTGAGGTGGCCATAGATGGGTGCCAACTCCATACAGAGTAAACTAGCAAGGCCCTTGCCTGGAACAGAAAGGTACAGAGAACAGGCAAGTCTTTGGACATGGGGATCAAAGAAACAGGGATGGCAAGGAACTCTAGGGTTGCTTCCAAAGAAAAAGAAAGATGTGACCACTCAAGCTATTGTAATGTGGAATGAGTCATCCAGGGGGTGTCTTCTGAGCTCAGCTCTCTGGTCAAAGTTCTCTGGAACTCAAAGGCAAGGAAAATGGCTCGGCTGATCTCCCACATCCTTGAAGGCCTAAAGTCGAGGTGTTGTTTAACAGTGTCTAGAAACGTAGGCTGTGTTTCAGAGACATCAAAGGACCAGCCCATGGTGTGGTGAAAAGGAGATCCGGTCACCAAGTCTGTCCATGTTCATGTCACTTGGTGAGTTATTTACTTGCCACTCTCTTAACGGGTGAATCCCTGCCCTTCAGGGCCTTTGCCTCACCAAGTGCAAGGGCAGGGTGCTAGGCTAGAGAGGAAAACAAACAGAATGACTTGAGATTCTTGCTATCAGAATGGTTCTAATCTAATTGAGGAAACACAACATATAATAAAAATAAAGGAACTGTTGAGTTGTCACAGCCACGTGTCCTAATGATGAATTGTCAAAGGAATGATACCGAGGACCAGAGGGGAAACGACACAAAGCAGAAACTGCTGTTACCAGGAGACAAGTGGTCTGTGTCCTGAGAGGACCCGTTACTGTCCGTTTTCTGTTCCATGAAGCTCATGAAGTAATGATGTGCCCCAAATACTTCATTAATCACTGTTTCAACTGTCAGTGGATTTCAAGAGGCCTTGTTGTTTGCTAAGCTTCTGTTCGCACACCGCCTTCCTCCCCAGGAGAATAATCCAAGCTCACATTTCATCCACCTTCTTAATGGGCACACGCTAAGGACAAATGCTGTTATATGCTCACCTCAAAAAGTAAGAGTGAGCTTTCTATTTATCTTCCCAAGTTTGTGCTCATATATGATTAGTAAATATTCTGGATTTTGGCTGTGTGTGCATGGGGAGCAGCTTTGTACATAATTATTGTTGTTGTTGCTGTTGTTTTGTACTGTCGAGTCAGAATGGATCTATAGCTGACCCTCTAGTGGGTTTTCAGTCAGTTAATCACGCAGGAGGAGATTGCCTATCCTTCTCTTACACATAATTGATTATCCTTATGTAAAGCAAAGATGAGTCAAGTTCTTGGTTGGCCAAGTCAAGAGATAGCATTATTCTGATGAGAAAAAGAGTATGGATGCTGAGAAAGTACATAGCGAATGAATGAAAGTGAACACTTTCAGAGTAAAGCTAAGCTTTGGAAGTGAGACCCAACCTGAGATTTTTGTTGCATTATATTGCATTGTGTTGTGTTGTACTGTAGCCAAACTCTGCTTTTGTTTCATGAATAGGAAAGACTATAAACGTCCTCATTCTGGGAGTCTGGGAGTCCTTCCTAGGTGCTAAACAGGACTCAGTGAGGAGGACTGACGATTAAGCAGAGTGGGCAGCAGGTGGGCGCAAAGCTTACAATTCAGACTTTCACGGGAAGATCTGCTACCTATCAGGCCCGCCTCCTCCGGCTCTCACGTGCCCTCACCCCCCTGGCATGCTCACCACCAAGGCTATGGCAATAGCCTTGGTACCCTTGGGGCCAAGTCCATGGTGATTGAGGTTCATGTAGGACTCCTCCATGTTCCGTAGGAAGTAGGACACGGGCACTACGCCTACCAGCTTGCAGGCCTCCAAGTACAGTTCCCTTTGTCCAGTGGTGAAGTATTTCTCATAATCTGGGAAGACAGACGAGATAAAGGAGTCATTCTTTCCCACGTCGGCCTCATCTCTCTCTAGCCCCAGGCCACCTTAGTTTCTGAATGCCAGCTCCTCTGCTGACAGAGATGATCTGACTTTTTGAGTATGAAGTCTAGAGGGCAGCTCTGGTCCAAGAAGTTAGCCAGAGGTGGGAATGGGACACCCTAACTCCAGGGAGCCTCAAATGAAGTCTCCCTTTGGGGAGGAGATGAGGCCCCTGGCTGTAGGCTCCAAGCTTTCCTAGGATAGAGAGGGGAAAACCACCTTTCCAGGCTAGTGTATCCTAAAGTGGATCAATCACGATGTGTCCCAGCCCTCTCGTTCACCTTGGCACAACTCTGAGCATCCAAACCAGGTTTGTTTTTTTTTTTAAATCCTTTTTGAGGCTATACTGTTGTTGTTAGGGAGCTCTGGTGGCCTAGTGTCAAGAAGCTGCTCTGCAATCCTGAAGGCATGAGGTTTGAGACCACCAGGTGCTCTGTTGGAGAAGGATGGACAATCTCCTTCCATGCAGTTAACTGCCTCTAAGAACCCACCAGAGGGTCAGCTATGAGTTGGTTCCGACTCGATGATATACAACAACGACATTTTTGTTAGGTACTATTGAGGTGAGTACGACTCAGCGAGTGACCTATGAATGACAGACATGACCCTGTCTTATCTCGTGTGTCAGCCTCACAATCCCCATCACACTCAAGCCCATTGCTGCGGTCTCTGTGTCAATTCACTTGGTTGAGAGTCTTCCTCTCCTTTGCCGTTCCTCCCGCTTGTCCATTGCTTTGAGGCCACAGGAGTCACCATTTCTGTTTTTTGTTTCATTGCTGTCAGTCACACTCTGTTGTTACTGACTCACAGTGACCCCAACTGTGCAGAGTAGAACCCCACAGGGGTTTCAAGGTTATGACCTTTCAGAAGCAGACCCCCAGGCTTGCCTCCAGCTGGATTCCAGCGGCCAGCCTATACACAAGCACTTCACTGAAGGAATCGCTGTTGCTGTTGTGTACTGTCAAGTCAGAACCAGCCCGTAGTTGCTCCTCCAGTGGGTTTCCAGAGGCAGTAAATCACATGGGAGGAGACTGGGCAGCTGGTGTATCCAAACCATGTGCCTTTACACTGGCAGCACAATTCCTTGCCACTAAGCCACCAGAACTCCCTAAGGGAGTAATTGTAGTTAGGTGCTATGAAGTCAAGTATGACTCATAGTGACCCTATTACAGCTGACCTAAACCCTTCCCTATCCTGTGCCATCTTCATTATCATCTGACACACTCGAGACCATTGCTGAAGTCACTGTGTCAGTGTATCCTGTAGGGAGTCTTCCTCTCCATCGCAGACCCTCCATCGTTCCAAACATGACATCCTTTTCCAAGCAAGCCTCACCTAGTTACATGTCCAAAGTATGAGAGGCAAAACTTCACCATCTTTGCCTGCAAGGAACACTCGGGCTGCACCTTTTCCAAGATATATCCATTTGGGTTTTTGGAAGTTCATGGGATATTCAGTATTCTTTTCCAGCACCACAACTCAAAGGCATCAATTCTTCTGTCGTCTTTATTCATTATCCAGCTCTCGGATTTGTAGCAGGGATTGAGAAGCCCATGGTCTGAATCAAGCACACTTTAGTCTTCAAACTGACATCATCGCTCTAGCATTCTGGAGAGTTCCTGACAGCAGACTTGCCCAACACAAAACATCTCCTTATTTCTTGACTACTGGTACCAAGGGTATTGATTGTTGATCCACAGAAGATGCAATCATTGACAGCTTCAATCCTGTGTTTCACTGTGTGCAATGGATAAAGGTCAACTCAAGTTTAGAGAGGATTCAACTGGAATTCCACCCAAGACAGAGTGGGCTTATGAAAATACAAATCATTGCAAGATGGAAAGAGTCCCTGGGTAGTGAAGAATCAACTTTATGGAAAGACTTCAAGCACCCCTGGTGGTGCAATGCTTAAGCATTAGCTGCTCCTCAAGAGCGAGGAGAAAACACCTGGCAATCTGGTCCCATAAAGATCCCAGGTTCCGAAGCCCTGTGGGATTGTTCTCCTCTGTCCTGTAGGGCCATCTGCACTCAGTGACAGGGTAGTGATCACTAGATTCCTAGAGTGTCTGGCCTGGTGTACTGTCCTTGTTACCTGAGAGTTTTGGTCATTGCACAGACTAACAATGAGATTTTATTATAAACTTTTGTTGTTGTTGTTGTTGTTGTTGTTATGTGCCATCAAGTTGCCTGAGACTCATAGCGATCCTTTGTACAACAGCTCTGAAGCCTGCCTCTGAACCAGTCTCACTGACTGGGACACACTTACCCCCATTACCCCAGTCGCTGTATCAATCCATCTCATCTGGGGTCTTCTTCTCATGCGCAGTCCCTCCACCCTTCTGAGAATGATGTCTTTCTCCAAGGACTGGTGCCTCCTGGCCACATCCCAAAGTATGTCAGATGAAGCTTCAAAATGTTGCCTCCAATGAGAAACTTGATTTCACCCTCTTTAAGGCAGACTTATTTGTTCTGTTGGCGGTCCATGGTATGTTCAAGACTCTTCTTCAACACCACAACTCAAAGGCATCAGTTCTTCGGTCATCCTTAGTTGCTGTCCAGCTCTCTGATGGAGAACAAGTAATTGTGAAGACCATGTCCTGGATCAGGCACACCTTAGTCTCCAGGCTGACATCATTGCTTTTTAGTACTGTGGAGAGGTCCTTGACTGTAGATTTTCCCAATGCAATGATGGGCCTTTGGGATGTACCATATCAGTTCCAACCAAAGATATTCTGCAGAACCACCAGGAAGGACTAGAGATTAAATGAAGGTCAGCTCTGTAGGCATTATGTGATTGAGCCACAGCAAACATCTCTTGACAGCAAAGGCTGAAGCGAGCTTCCCTGGTTGGTAGAAGCCTGTATGTATCTCCACACATCACAACTGGGATGCCCAGGATTCTATGTGAAGCGGATGACCGAAGGTCTGGGCCCCCCACTGGACTCTGCATTATCAGTCTCTTCCTTTGGCTGCCTCTAATTGGCATCCTTTCTCTGTAATAAAATAGTAATCACAAGTAGAACACTTTCAGAACTTTTTCTGAGTCATTCTAGTAAATCACTGAAACTAGGTATAGTTGTGAGAAATTTGTAGCTAGCTGGTCTGCAGTGAAAGGTGCCCTGGGGACCCCTGAACTTGCTGCTTTGAAATGAGGGCAATCTTTTGAGGACTACTTCCTGAGACTGGATAGTTTCCCTTAATGCATTACACTGCAGAGTCAGAAGGAAACAAACAAACTCAAGTTCAAGTGGGCTTTTCTCTTTTCAATGCTTGCATTTTTTCTCTTCATGAAAATGATTGTCATCCTTATTTTACCCATGACAGTCCTAGATCGCACACAGTTGATCTATGCTAAGGAACAAAATTGGGGACACAGCCTCTCCATCCTCATCTCTTTATTCCTATAGCTTGAGACCAGCATGGCTCATGGCCAATAGCGATCAGGCCTCCCTGGACCCTGGATGCCCCAGCAGCTGTGACCCCGTTAGGCAGGCTCACTCCATGGCACGGTTTCCTGGAACCAGCTTGGGTCTATGTCTACATCTGGTTTTCCTTCAGATCCCAGGGCCTCGGCCAACTCACCCCAAACGTTTCCAAGGCAGACAATAAGAGCTTTGTTGGTTAAAGGACAGCACATTTACAAGGAAGCTGCTTTTTCAGACACAGTTCCAACGCAGCCTCCTCTTCGGCTGTAGAACAGGATTTCATTCTGGCGTGAGGGGCTGTCCTGCACATTGCAAGGGATTTAGCAGCAGCTGTGGTCTCCATGAGCAATGATGATGCAGTGTGTTGTGTGTTGTGCTGCTGATCAAATCCATCGCTGGAATTTATGACCCCAGAAAACCAACGGAGGGACAGCAGTCAGAAACAGCTTGTTTTCTATGCTGTGGATGACAGCAGCAATCTGCCCAGTGTCCCAGGGGGTCAAAATCACCCCTGGTTGAGAACCATTTCTGCATAGGAAACACAGCCAGTGGTAGAAAAGTAATCTCCCCTTCTTTTTCCCCACTTTTGTAACCTTACCACCTGTTTACAAATCCCATGCAGACTCCGACCCTCCACGAAGCCCTTTCTGCCCCACCTGAAGCATCTCAGAACCAGCCACAGGTGCGCCAGGAGCGAGAGCAGCAGAGGCCAAGTTTCTGTTCTAGCACACTGTCCGAGGATCTAATTTAGTCCTCAGGGCATTCTAATGGTGTAGTGGTAAGGAGCTGCACTGTCAACCCAAAGGCATGCGGTTCAAATCCACCAACTGCTTTGCGGTAGAAAGACGGGTGGTCTCATCCGTGTAATTTGCTGCCTCTGAAAAGCTGCTGGAGGTTCAACTATGAGTCTGTTCTGACTCGAAGGCACACAACAACCATTTAGTCCTCAGGGGTTTTAGTCCACCGAAGCAGGGCAGGTGATCTCTGGCTTTGCCCGTAAGATTCCTTCTGCTCTGTTTAATGCTGACCCCAGTGGTATTCGAGGCAAGAGGAGAGGCAGCTTACAACAGCCTTTCCCTAGGTGAGGACAGGTAGGCAGTGAGATAGGAATAGGAACTTAGAGGAAAATACCCAGTATTTCTATTGCTGCCTTCTCTGGCCAGGTAAAACCAGGTGTTAAAGTGACATCAGTGGCAGTGGTATAGAGGGAAAGTCAGAAAAATAGCATCAAGAAGCCATGGGAGGTGGGAGAGAGCAGGTCTGTGTAGGAGAGTGGAGTTGTGTATCGACCACATTGGGAGGGTCATGAGCTGACTCTGGGTAGGGGTGTCTTGGTTTAACTGGGCAGAAGAGCTGGCCGAACCTTCCAGATGCAAGAGCACAAGAGCGCAAGGCTCACTGGGATAGTCTCAACCTGGGAAGTGGGAGCTGGGCCCCGTTAGGTGAGGACAGCATCACGCCCCCTTGCACCTGGCTCACGGACTAGTCTTAGCCTGAGAAATGTGAGCTGGGCCCCATTAGGTGAAGCCAGCATCATGCTCCCCTTGCACTGTAGATATTCTCCGTGGCACTTTCCTCCTTGGAGAAATGAAGAGGAAGAAGAGGATGAAGGTGTTGCCTACAACAATAGAATCTTTGCCCCAGCAAAGGAGCTCCCCAGACCCGAGCATACTTAGATATGTATGACATAGGGAGCTCCCGAACAGGGGGAGCAAGGACTTGGGAGAGATGGAGGAAAATCAACCTGATACAGATGGGGCCCAGAAACACTCCAGAGCCCCTCAAATATGGACTATGGAAAGCAGATGGGCAGGGTGAGGCAAATATGAGATCAGTGGACATGAACTTGACAAGCTTCCAGCAGCCAACTCATGTGATCTCTTTGAGCCTCAGATCCCATTTCAGAAGAAAACAAACAAAAAAGTAAATCCAGTACCATTGAGTTGATTCCAACTCTTAGTGACCCCATGGGATAAAGTAGAACTGCCCCGTGGGGTTTCCAATGCTATGGTGTTTAAAGAAATAGACCACCACATACATCTTCCTCCCGAGGAGGTGCTGATGGGATCGAACTAATCTTTCAGTTAGCAGTTACCACTGCACCACCAGGGCAATGTGTAAGTAGGTTGTTGTTGTTGTGTGCCATTGAGTCAGAATGGACCCATAACTGACCTTCCAGCAGGTTCGCAGAGGCAGGCAATCACACAGGAGACTACCCATGTTTCTAGTGTAGAGCATCTGGTGGATTTGAACCATGTGCCTTTGAGATTGCAGGACAGCTTGTCACCACTAGGCCACCAGAGCCATCTGTGTAAGTAAGACAGAGCTGATAATGGTAACCTCCTGGGACCTTTGCAAACTTCACATAAGATGGGAAAATGCCTAGAAAACCAGAAATTCAGTTCCTTAATAAGTTCAGCTTTCAGTAGTCTGACAGGGGCACACTTCTCCTTGAGAAGAATGTGGGTTGAACCCAGCACAGAGTTTCTGGCTACATTCTTTCTGCAGGATGTCCCACTGGGTAAAGCTGGGGCCAGTGCCCATGAGGGGTGGGGCTGGGAAGGCCATTTCTCCAGCTTCTGGAGGAAAGAGACCACCCGCAAATGCCCTCGCTCACCTTCGATCTCCAGGTCTGTCTCTGAACTCTCTTGCGTGGATTTCTCTTTCTCCACGGTCAGGAGGGGTTCAGCTTCACAGTAAAGCGCCTCTTCACTGTTCTGTGATGGTGTTGCAAGTGCTGCATACTCCAACTCATCTGAAAGAACCATTCTTTGCCTCGGTTTTGAGAATGAAATCTGCCTCCACGTGCCCTCGGCCTCCTCACCCTTCCTTCAGAGCCAGGCCCTATTTGCTCCCCAGGCCTTACGGGATGAGTCCTCTGTGGTGTGGCCAGCGGGCCCCTCACCCGTGCTATGGAGAATTGGTTCTGCAAACCTGCCTCGCTTCCTGCCACATCAGTTCCTGCTGATTCCTTTATGGTCCACAGGGTCTTGTGCTGCAACTCCGTCCTGCCTGCTGCCACCCACCTTCACCACCCTCCCACCTCTTGAAGTATGAAGCTTCTTATTTGGTTACGTGGGTGTCAGGGTCTGCTGTTATTCTTTCTGGAGAAGGGATTTGCCCTAAAGCTTGGTCATGGTCAGGCACAAAGGGTGGGAGAGGTTGTAGGGGAGACAGATGGCAGCTTGGGTCAAATGCAACAATACAATGGGATGGGAGCAATCCAGGCAGGAAGGAGGGGTAACTTGATTTTTACAAAAGTTGGCTTAGCTTCTCTTCCTTCCAATCCAAATTTATATCCTGGCCAGGAAGAAGCAGAGTTTGCATAATCTGTTTTCAATTGAAATTAACCACCTTAATCAAATACATGTCCCGTTTGATGAGAGGCTGGCAAGGACAGCAGAGCTTCCTGCACACCGGGGCCCTGGACTTGCTAGATGTGGCTTTCTCACCACCGGGTCGCCTGTCTGGGGTCAGCATGGGTTCCCGAAAGTCCTGGGCAGGGTTCAGAACTCAGTTTTCCTGAATGAGCAAGGCTGGATGGTGTGTGGGAGCCTCCTTACAGTTTAGATGGACTGGGTTTTGATCACCCACATTCTAGGATGGTGAGGGTCTAGAAGGATCTTTGCAAACTTGTACCTTTCTTAATCCCTAAAATATTTCCTAACCTGTAAGATAAGTTTCATGGTATGAACTGGGAGTAGCAGTGACTGGCAGTTAGAAGTCATGCATTTTTATTCCAGCTCAAAAGTGGTGTGCTTCTGAATCTTAATATCCTCATCCATTGAACAATTTTAGACTTCTATCCAGCCAGTGGCATCCTGATAAATCTTTAACAACTGACTTTTCATAATAATAATAATAATAATAATAATAATAATAATAATATCCTGATTTTGCAGTGTTACCCAATTTATATGAAATGAACATTCTCAGCTATAGCTGATTTCAAACTAGGTGCTAGGTGATGGACTCAAATGGATTCATTTCCCAGCTGAGAATGGGCCTTCCCACCCCGATATACTGAACCATCGTCTGTATCTTGAGAGCCTTGTTAAAATGTAGATTCTGATTCAGTATATCTGCAAGAGAAATGCCTATTCTCAGCAAGGGTCTGAGCGGGATGAGCTGATGTGAAGGTCTGGGCTAGAGCCAGTTCCAGCATAGACATACATCCAGCCTCTCTCATCTCCTGCCTGCCAAGCCCTGAACCCAAGTCAGTGTGACACTTCATCCCAATTCCAGAGGTTCCCGGGGGCGGGGGGGAGAAACGCGAGGTGGTTCCTGTGATCATTGGGTGTTCTGCTGACATCTCGAGGGACCAGAATGGAGAGAGATGGGGGTGCCTTTTCACCTCTTGTCTCGAGTGTAAGTTCATCACTGTCCATGGTGCCGGGACCTTCTGGGGTTGCTGAGAGCTTCTTACCCCTTTCTACTGTTTCCCTAAGAAGCACACCTGTTCACTCAGCTCTGTAGCAAACTGTGGAAACCCTTCCCTCACATAGGCAAATCCCGGGGTGGGTTTGGGGGGTGGAGGCTGTAGTTATCCTTTCATCTCAGCAAGCCATGAGGAGGAGAAAGGGCTTTGCTGGGAACTTGGCATGCATGGACTTGACCCCAGCTCTGTCTGGGAAAGGTAACTGCTTCCCACGCCCATCAGGAAGGATATGGTGTGATTCCCTGAGAGACCAGCCTACAGGATATCCACCCGCCTGCGACTTTGTGACTTAAGAGCTACTCTGCTGTCATCTGCACCATTCCATGACCTCACTCGGTCATTGTGATCCATGTGGGGGGACCTGGCAACAGCAGGTCTCCCACCCTCTGGCTGGCTCTGGCAGTCACCTTGACTCATATGTCCGCTGGGGCCAAGCCCAGGCGGGGCTGTGAGTGCACCGGGATTGTGGGGGCCCTCTCAGTGCTGTTGTATTTTTCTCTGAATCAGGGCCAAACCCAAGTCCCTTCCTTAATCAGGTGACTGGGAAGAATTGCCACCATGTGCTTCTCTCAGGGTGGCTGTGCTTCAGGTACGAAGTATTTCAGTGATGGGTGAAGTCCCTTGTCTCTTGCCCAGATCTCCCCTTTTGTTTTTTTGCCTCGAGAGATTCGCCTCAACGTTGGAGCCGAAGATCCAAAGCAAAGCACAACAGCTTATGTTCTGTTACGACAGTTTGTGGCAGCCAAAGCATCAGTTCAAACCACTGGGCTGCCTCACTTAAGCCACCAGCCAGAACGGCCACACCTGACTCTTTTGACATGTCTTGAACTTTGGTCTGGGGCTACTCTCAAGAGAATTTGGAGGTGGGTTTGCTCCTTGACAAGCTTTCTGCACATCATCGATCAGGTCAGTGACTGGAGGGCTTGGGGGACATAAAAATCCCTTCTCAACCCTGAGAACCTTAATGACCTAGGACCTTGTGTAGGGAGAACAAGGGCTCCTGGAACAAAAACCGAACAAAGGAAATGTACATGAGATGGTACTCATTCCTTCAGATCTTCCTTCTGAAAAATATTTGTTGAGCCCCCAGCAGGCACGATGTACTGAGTTAAGCACTTTGGAAGGTGCAATGAGGACACAATTAAGATAGAGACCCTTCAAGGCATGTCTAATACAAGATAGGCATTGACAGGATTACTCCTAGGGTAGAGTGCGCCTTGGAGGCAAGGATGAGGAAGCTTTATCTCATATACTTTGGGCATATTGTTAGGAGAAAGACATCCTGCTTGGGTAGATGGAGAATCACTGAAAGAGAAGAAGACCCTCAATGAGACAGATTGATACAGGGTCAGTGGCAATGGGCTCAGGGGCAGGATAGGACAGAGATCATATCCCTTGTCCGTAGGATCACTATGAGTTGTACTTGATTAGAAAGCGCTTAACAATAGCAATAACTCCTTAGGGTATGTGGTCTGTAGGCAAAAATTTATTTTTGGTGGTGTGTCCATTCATATAAAAGTTTGGGTTGCCCTAAATCAGGGTGGCATTACCATTCAGGTGGCCCAGTTTCATGTGATCCCTTGAAGGAAATATCAAGCAGTTCTGAGTGAATCATTCCAGATGATGCTATGGGCACAAAGCCTAGATACATTCAGGCCCTGGTCAACCCAGTGCTGGTGCAGCAGGTAAGAAGAGTGTATATTGGGGAACACAGGGACCAGGGTCCTGGTCAGCCTCCAGGTACCCTGCGTGGATGACACTGGTGGTCTCATCCAATCTCAAGTATGAAAGAATCAGAAAATTTAGGGGGAAGGCCCTTCAAAGAGTTCCTCAGCGGACAGGTGGTTTCATGAGATTCTTTGTGAGGACAGGCTATGGTGAGGTTTCTTTGTGTTAGGGAGCATCTGTGCGCTCTGGACAGAAGTCTGGAGAAAAGACTTCTGTTTTTAGGAGCACAGGATGAAGAAAGGCAGCAGGAGAGGCCAAGGTGGGTTTAAGAGCATGTGGGATGTCAAGAGAAATGAAGAGAGGGACAGCCTCAAGGGCAGAGGAAACTCAGGGAGAGATTCGAATGCAGTTAAAAGACAATAGAGTGCCACTGAAGATCTTTAAGGAGAAGAGTGATGTAATAATCACAGATAATCTTCAGAATTTTAGAGAGCAATTTTTTTAGCTTAAATGTCAATTTTGAAAAATAAAGAGGTTTCAAGAACCAGAATTTTTTAAGTGGCTGTCTTTTAAAGTCATTCAGTGTAGGACCTGCAACTTCTGGAAACCATTTTATTGTGTTTAACTGACCAAATTGGTCTTCCATTTAACAAACAGTTCACACACATTTTGTTTTGTGACATTGATGACAATTCCCAGATGGAGCAGCACTCTTCCCCTTTGATATGGTCATATGTGTGCAGGAATACGGCTTACCAATACTGAAACTCTCTCTCTCAGAACTCTGGTCATATAATCCATAGAAAGTTGTTCTCTCTCTCACACACAGCTCTGGTGGTATAATCCACTTTCAAACTCTGTGCTGGGCTTCCAGTTGATAATGGATGAGTTCAAGATTAAGGCTTATCTACTTATTTGATGGCTGCTCAGTTATTCCAGCACCGTTTGCTGAAAAGGATCCTTTTTCCACTATTTAATTGCCTTTTCACCTTTGCCAAAAATCAATTGACTAAATGTGTCCTTTTTAACTTTCAGGGCAGGGAGGGAGGATACAAGCAGTTAAGAAACTATATGACCAGCATATAGTGCATCAGTTGTCTGAAATGTTGCACCTTTAAACTACTAGGTTGTAAAATAAAATCCATTGTGCTAAGAGATTTTTGTTGTTAGGTGCTGTGGAGAGTTGAGTAGGACTCATAGTGACCCTCTAAACAGCAGACCTGAATCTTGTCCTGTTCTGTGCCACCCTCACCATCTCTGAGCCTATTGCTGCAGTCACTGTGTCAACCCATCTCATTGAGGGTCTTCCTTTCATTTGCTGATCCTTCCTCTTTCCACATATGATGTACCTTTCCAAGGAACAGGCTCTCCGAGTAACAGGTCCAAAGTATGAAAGACGAAGCTTTTCCATCCCTGCCTCCAAGGAGCGCTCTAGCTGCACTTTTCCCAAGACATACCTCTTTGTTCTTTTGACAGTCCATGAGCTATTCAGTATTCTTCTCTAACACCACAACTCAAAGGCATCAATTTTTCTGTTTTCATCATTCATTGTCCAGCTCTCGGATGCATAACAAGTGATTGAAAAGACCATGCCCTGAATCAGGCACACCTTGGTCTCCAAACTGACATCATTGCCCTTCAGGACTTTGGAGAGGTCCCTGA